CCAATACTTCTAGATTTAAACAGAGGACTCAATAAGTGTTGGGTTCAAATCCTGCCTTTATACCATTTCTTGCCATGTGACCTGGGCAAGTCATAATCTCCCGGATCCTCAGTTTCCTTATCCATAGAATAAATCTATCAGTCAGCAAAGATTTATTAAACACCTATTATGTCAATAACTGTGCTAGGCACTACAGGTACAGAGACAAAAATGAAACAGAACCTACATTTAAGGAGCTTATAACATAGACAGAGGAGACACACGTACATATATAGTCATATACAAAATACATAAAGGGTCAACAAGCATTTATTGAATGCTTATTATGTGCCAGGCACAGTGCTAAGTGCTAAGGATATGAATAAAGCAAAATCACAGCTCTTGTTCTCAGTGAGTTCACATTCTAATGGGTGAAACAAAGCACAAAGAATTAGGTACGTGCAAGATATATACAGTGGAGAGGATGCCCACCAATTGGGGAATGGCTGAACAAATTACGGTATATGAATGTAACAGAATACTATTGTGCTATGAGAAATGATGAGCAGGCAGATTTCAGAAAAACCTGGAAAGATTTACATGAACTGATGCTGAGTGAAATGCGAACCAAGAAAATATTGTACGCAGTAACAGCAACATTGTGCTATGATCAACTTTGATGGACTTCGCTCTTCTCAGCAACACAAGGATCTAAGAGTATTCCAAAACACTCATGATGGAAAATGTCATCGACATCCAGAGAAAGAACTGATGGAGTCTGAATGCAGATCATCGTTTGTTTTTCTTTCTCATAGTTTTTCCCTTTTGTTCTGATTCTTCTTTCACAACATGGCTAAAGCAGAAATATGTTTAAAATGATTGAACATGTATAACCTATGTCAGATTGCTTGCTCTCTTGGGGAGGTGGAAGGAGAGGAAGGGAGAAAAAAATTTGGAACTCAAAATCTTATAAAAGTGAATAGTGAAAACTATCTTTACATGTAATTGGAAAAACTAAAATGCTATTAAGTAGGAAAAATAAAGAACCTTGATCATCAAAAAAGATACTTTTCCCAGTAGACAAATGGTTAAAGGACATGAAACCTTTTGGTAAAAAAATAAAATCTATCAATAGCCTTCTCACAACTATTCACAATCACCAATAATTAAAGAAATAGAAACTAAAACAATAATAAGATATGCACAGTATAAATGGAAGGTCATCTCAGTGGAAAGGTATAGCAAGGGAGAGCACAAAAAAAGCCTCCTTCAGAAGATGAGATTTGAGATGAGCCTTGAAGGAAGCCAGGAAATCCAGGAGGTAGAGGTGAAGAAGGAGATCATTCCAGGCATGGGGATAGACAGTGCAAAAACACAGAGTCAGGAGATGGACTGGTCAGGTGTAAAGAAAAGCAAGGAAGCCTGTATAGGTGGATCATAGAGGACATGACGGGTAGCAAAGTATAAAAAGACTGGAAACATAAGATGGGGTCAGGTTGTTAATGACTTTAAGATTTTATATTTGATTTTGAAGCAACTGGAGCTCCTTAAACAAAGGAAGGAGATGACATAATCAGACCTATGCACTAGGAAAATCACTTTGGCAGCTGAGTGAAGGATTGGTTGGAGTGGGTAGAGGCTTGAGATAAGGAGAATAACTAGGAAGCTATTGCAAAAGCTCAGGTGGGAGGTGATGAGGGCTTGGACTAGGATGGTGGCTGTGTGAGTGGAAAGAAGGGACTGTATACCAGATATGCAATGAAGATAAAAGTGACCAGATTTGACATTGGATGCATATGTGGGGTGAGTGTGAATAAGAAGTGGAGAATGACACTGAAGTTGTCACCCTAGTGACTGAGAGGATGTCAATGCCCTTAAAAAATAATAGGAAAGTTGGAAAGAGGATAGGATTTAGAGGGGAAATAATGAGTTCTGTTTTGGGTATATTGAGTTTGAGATGCTTATGGGCTAACTGACTGGACGTGATTTTGAGAAGTCACTAGCAGCTTGAGGATCATACAGAATAGATGTATCAAAATCTTGGCCCTATACCCCCAGCAAAATTCCCCAGTAAGCCTCAGCCAGATTAAAACTGTAATTGGGAAATGTTTGACAAAATAAATAAAAATACAAATAGAACATAGATAATGTTCATTTGTGGTTTTCCAAGTCAATATGTAGCCACAGGTATCAGTTTCTCTTTGAGTTTGACATCATTGAAGAAAAATACCATCTGAACTAAGCACTGAAGAAAGCTCAAGATTCTGACAGGCAATGAAAGTGCATTTGGGGCATGGGAGACAGTCAGTCCAGAGGAATGGAAATGGGAAATGCATTGTCCTGTACGAGAGGTGATGAGAAAACCAGTTTGGCTAGAGTGATAGCAGGGTTTGTGAAGGGGAGAAGTTCATATTTGATCCTTGAAGTTACAGGAAGCCACTAGAGTCTGATGGGCAATGCTATATATCTTCTGAAATTCTGAGACTCTATGAAAGTGGCCTGGTAAGTCAAGTGTCTATCTCTGGATCTCTAATTTAAGCGTTAGGTAGGTCAGGTTCTCTTCATTTGTGGACTCTCCTGTCTACCTCCTTAGATCTGAAATGTAGGTGTTATGTCTTTTTCTTAGAAGCAAACCTCATAATTATCTCAATTCCCTCCAGGATTAAATTGGATATGTGTACGCTTATGCTACAACTCGTGAGCCCTCCATAGATATGCTCCCCACCATATTTACCGGTTGATTCATCAGTCAATTTCAATTAGTCAGCCAGAGTTAATTATAAATGTGCAGAAGAGTTTACTACTTAAATATGTACTCACCTGCATTTTAAGAATTAGTTTACTTAGCAAAAGACCTTAGGGAAAAGAATTATCAGATTTCTAACTCTTGAGTGTTCAAGAAGGTTGGAGGGGAAGGTTAACCACTTCAGTGAAACAAAGGTTTCAAGAAGTCCATGAAAATATCTTGGATTTAGAATTATAAAATAATACTTGCTTTACCTTGTCATGCCTGGACAACCTAGGAGGGGATATATTTTAGCAGAAGATGATTTGTCAAGAGTTACATAGATATTTATGAATTTGGTGCAATGGCATAAGCATATGTCTGTGAGAAGAAACTGTATCTTGCTTTCGAGCAAAAAGAGCCTAATTAGAGAAAATCATTAAAGCCACAAATTAACTCATTATGGATTTGGTACAGATTAAAGTGGGAGAAAATGAGCTTCAATATGATTCTAATTAGAGCTATTTCATCATTGCTTGGAACTTAAATGTGTATCACTGGTATATTACATGTACAGTTTCATTTTTTTCCCCTCTGTGATGTGTTTCTAGATCCATCCACTATGGACCATTTCATTGGGAACCCTGACAATGAATAGCTTGGGGTCTTGCACTCTGATTTCATTCACTAAGGCCATTTCCCCCTTTCTTTGGAATAACAAGAGAGAAGTCTTTGGGTTCTTCTTTTGTTCTCTCTCTCCCTATTGCCACTGTTTCTTGTATCCAATGTGATGTTCCTAAAGTACAGGTACATCCAAGTTGCTTACCTGCTCAGTCAAATCCAGTGGCTCCCTATTACCTCTAGAATCAAATATAAATTCCTCTGGTTATATTTTAAAACCTTTTACAGCCTTGCTGCTATACTATCTTTTCAGCCTCATTAGACATTATGCCCCCCCACACACACACTCTGTCTTCCTTCTCCATGACTTTGCATTGGCCTACCCTCACTACCAGCTATACTCTGTCCTCATTTCTGACTCATAGAATCCCTCTCTTTCTTTAGAATGCATCTCAAGAACAACCTTCTACATAAAGCCCTTCCTGATAGTGCCCCCTCAACCTTCTTTGTATTTAACTATTTTATATTTATAAATATGTTATATTATATATATTTGTTCTTCTTATATTTATATTGCACACACATACATCCAACCCCCCACCCTCAACCCCTGACTCCTTGAACTACTTCTCTACCACCTCTGCTCCGATGTCCTCCTGCTATTTATTATCCCCATTTTACAGATGAGAAAACTGAGGCAGACTGAGGTTAAACTACTTTCCCAGAATCTCATATATAATAAATGTCTGAGGCCAGATTTGAATTCAGCTTTTCCTGACTCCAGGTTTAGTGTGAAGCCTTGGTTTCTTTCAAGGCTTAATTCATACAAGAAGCCTTCTCTCATCCCACTAGTTCCTTGTGCTCTCTTACTCTTTGATTTATCTATCTGTATAAAAGTGGAATCACTAAAAAGAATAGATCTTTTTTTGTTGTTTTTGTCTTTGAATCCCTGAGACTTAATACAGTGCATTGTACATTGTAGACACTGGGAGTCACAGTAAATAGAATGCTACACCTAGAGTCAGGAAACCTGAGTTCAAATGCAACGTCAAACACTTGCTAGTATCCTGGGCAAGTACCTTAACTTCTGTCTGCCTCAATTTTCTCATCTGTAAAATAAGAATAATAAAAGTACCTACCTCCCATGGATATTCTGCAAATAAAATGAGATAATATTTGTAAAAACTCTATATAAATACTTGCTATTATTATTTTGTTAAATTTCTTATATTAAAGTTTACAAAACAATTTCACATATACTATATCTTGCAATGCACAGGAAAAAAAAGACACTGTGAGGGAGGAGAAGTGACAGGTATTAAAATGTCCATTTTGAAAAATAAAGAAATTGTGGCTCATGAAACTCAAGTGATTTGTGCAAGGGAACACAGTGAGTTCAGGAGTAAATCACAGATCTTCTGATCTCATGTCCAAAGCATCTTTGTAGTTAGCAGATTGTCTGACAGTGGAGGATTTGAATTGGAAGTCAGTGTCATAGAAGCTCCAAAAATAGAGGTCAAGAAGCAGTTCACATAATCTACAATCAGAGATAGATGATAAGGCCAGAAATGTATGACCCCAGAGAGTCTTGGGCCTCGTGTTCACAAGCCAAGATTTCCAACATCCAGGCTCTGGGTTCCAGTCACCACATTCCAAAGCTCAGAGTTATGCCCCATCACTGGGAGAAGGTTGGTCTGCTCATGAGTCTCTTCAAGGCACCCTTTATGTCTTTGTTCCTCAGACTATAGATGAAGGGGTTCAACATGGGAGTGATCACAGCATACATCACTGAGGCAACTGTGTTCTTCCAGGAGGAGTGGGTAGCTGAGGAGCTCAGGTACACCCCAAAAACTGTGCCATAAAATAATGCGACAACACACAGGTGAGATCCACAGGTGGAAAAGGCTTTATACTTTCCTCCAGGTGATGGGACTCTCAATATGGAAGAACAAATCTTAGTATAAGAGAAAAGGATCCCTGTGAAGGGGAGAACACCCAGCAGGCCAGTTGTAAAATAAACCAAAATGTTATTGATAAGGGCCTCAGTACAAGATAGCTTCAGAACTTGAGGAAGATCACAGAAGAAGAATGGGAGATCAGGGTCTTTACAGAAGGAGAGCTGCATTGCCATCAGACTCTGAATGAGGCAGTCTAGAAGACTGATAGTCCAAGACAATAGAACTAGCAGACCACAGAGCTGCGGGCTCATGATGGTTGCATAGCGCAGGGGGTGACAAATGGCCATAAAGCGATCATAGGCCATCAGAGCAAGGAGGAAATTGTCCATGCAAGCAAAGACTGAGAAGAAATACATCTGGGTGAGGCAGCCAGCATAGGGGATGGCTTCACTGTTGGTCAGGATATTCACAAGCAAGTTGGGAACTGTGGTGGATACTAGACAGAGATCCACAAAAGATAGGTTGGAGACGAAGAAGTACATGGGGGTGTGGAGGTGAGAATTGGCTCCAGTGGCCAACATAATGAGAAAGTTCCCAACCACAGCGACCATATACATGCCTAAGAATAGCCCAAAGATAAACAGCTGCTGCTCTTGTTTTATGGGAAATGTGAAGAAGAATTCTGAGATGCTTGTTTTATTTCCTGGTCCCATTTAATTGTTTTAACTGTCAGATAAGAATAGGAATAGATAATGAAATTAAAATACCCATTGCAGACTCACAGAGTTTGAAGCAGAAGAGACTTTTAGTGGCCAACCAACCCAACCCATAAATCAAAAGAATTCTAGTGGCCTTGGCCCCTGAGGTCATGGCTTTCTGGGCCCAAAGATTGTAGGGTCTGTGCTGCTGACTCATCCCCATAGAATTTTCTCTACCATGCCATAGAAACCTCTTCATCCTGGAAACTCACTTCATTCCTGGACTACTTCTCACATTAGAAGTCCCCTAACTTGTCCCTGTAGCCTCTCCTTCTGACTGGCTGGCTCCTCCCAGAATTTCCATTTTAGGGAGAAGGCCCAGGCCAATCATGTCTTCATTCCCTTCAGGCTGCCCTGATGACCCATCTCCACAAGTATTTCTCTACCATGCATCTAAGCTGGGTACCTTCACCAGCCCTCCCAGTGCTTTTCAGCCCCTTTTTACGTATTGTCTTCCACTATTGGAATCTAAATTCTTTGACAGCAGAGATTATCTTTAGTTCTGCTTGTATTTTTATTCTGAGTGGCTGGCATATAGCAAATGCTGACTTGGCTATAGCATGTCCAAAAAGAAGCTGGGCATTCCCTGCCTAAAGACCTCCATGAACAGACACCTGCCACCTCTCCAGGCAGCCCATTCCACCTGTGGACAGCTCTCATTGCTAGTCTCATTTTGTCTCATTGAGACTAAAATGATTCCTTTGCTACATCCACCCATTGACCCTGCTTCTGTGTTCTAGGAAAAACTGAATCTGACAACCCTTCAAATACATAGAGACAACTTCAGACTGCTCATGTAATACAATGACTTCAGGGCTTGACTTTAGAAGACCTGTACTCGAATCCCAGCTCCAACATTTACTACCAGTGTGACTTTGGCCAAGTTATTTCTCATATCTATATTTTGAGATCTGTAAAGGCAGCTTCCTATTCCCATATTCTACAAACCTCTGCTAAGCACATTTAGAGCTTAGGCAACATAAACTAAAATATAAAAACTGCTCTCAGGATCAGCCTGTTGTACCTGAGCTGCTAGAGCCCTCCACAGTGAGGGCAAATTTATGATAAGACAATGGGGTATACAGAATTAATTTTGCAATGGGGCCATTCCCAGACTGTGGAGCAAGAAGTAAGCAGCATTATCACAAGGGGGAAAGCAGGCAGGGGCCAGAGGAAGAAGACGAGTCTAAGATCTTGAGATCAATGACAGAAATGCTTCAATTTGGAGTCCAAACAGTGCAGCAAGGCAAACAGGGACTAATGCCAAGACAAAGTCCAAGAAACCAGGTGTCTAATAACACATCTCACATAAGAGAACAAAATGCCCCCCCATGACATTTTTCTGAGGGTAGAATGAAGGTCAATGTGTGGAAGTTGCAGGAAGGAAGGTGTATAAATACCTTGGCAACTGTTAGTTCTATCTAGAAACTGAATGGGCTTCCTGAGGTAAGGCGGGTTTCACATCACTAGAGGTCTTCAAAAAGAGTTTAGATCCCTCATATAAATGGCAACATCATTCACCAAATCTCCTAGCTTTGAAACACTGATTGAACCATTCCTTCACTCTCACCTTTATCCATCCAATAAGTCGCCAAATCCTTTTGGTTGTCTATAACATTTTAGCATTCACCTCTTCTTCTAATCCTATTTTCATCATCCTAGTATAAGCTTTAACTACCAGCTGTAAGAGCTCTTGCAATAACCTATTAACAATTCTCCACAGCTGCAGACTTTACATACCCCAATCTGTCCTTTACATGCTGCCAGATGTATTTGCCTTAGGCATAGATCTGACTACAGCCCTCTTCTACCCAATGACCTTCAGTGGCTTTCTATTATCTATCAAATAAAAGATGACTTCCTCAGACTGCCAGTCAAGGGTCTTCAAAACCTGGTGTTATTTTACCTTTTCCCTTTTTGCAGATAAGGAAACTGAGTCTGAGAAATGGTAAATGGCTTATCTAGAGTCACTCAGGAAATAAGTGTCAGAGTCAATCTGTCAGTCATCCAACAAGCATTCATTATGTGCTTACTAATTAAATTTCAGGGATAGGGATTCAAAGAAAAACAAAAACCATCTCTAAGTGTATGGAAAATATATACAAAACAGATCAGTGATGATTTGAGAAGGTAAGGCACCAAGGTAGAGAAATCGTGAGAAAGCCCACCTGCAAAATGTAGGATTTGAGCTGAATCTTGAAGTAAGCCAGGGAAACTGAAATGGAAGTGAGATGACAGAGCATTACAGGAATGGAGTGGGGGGGAGGCAGCTAATGCAAAGACACAGATAGAGGAAGTAGAGTACCATGTTTAAGGAACAAGTAGGCAAGTATAACTAGAATATAGAGTATGCAGAGAGGAAGAAAGTATAAGTAGACTGGAAAGGTGTAAAAAAGCCAATTGAAATGTCAAAGGACTCTTTTTTTATTCTACTGGAAATAGGGAGCCAATGATGTTCATTGAGAAATGGAGTGACATAGTCAGACCTATGATTTAGAAAAACTGTCTTGGTAGCTGAGTGGAGGATGGCTTGGAGTGGAAAGAGACGTGAGGCAGGGAAACTAAATACACACATATACCACACACACACACACACACACACACACACACACACACACACACACACGAGCTTGAACCAATTGCTCTTTTCTGAGCACATAAAAGATAGGAGACATTCTGAACTTTTGCTAGGAGGTCACACACAAATCTAGATATCAGGGAACAGGATCCTTTTTTGAGAACCAGAAAGAGACAATGATTTATTCACACAGTTCCACAGTGAACATGGCTAATCAGAGGTAAGGCTGGGATCTGAACCTAGGTCTCTTAACTGCTATTCTAGGGCTTCTTCCATTACCACCATTACAGCCTCATTCCAACCCCAAAGCCAAGGCTAAACTAGAGTCTGAGATCTTGGCTTTCATATAGACTCGGGCCTGGGTTCTGAGCTGGGTTGGCCTATGCTCTGGGCTATCCTGGTGTTGGCCATACCTCCCCCCGAGTCTGAGACAAAATAGACCACGTGTCCTTTCCTCCCTTCCACTCCTCTGTCCTTTTCTCTTTCTTTCCCCCATAGCACTTACTGGGCATCACCAAGGGGTTAAGGTTGACTGATTCTGTTTGTTCTGGATTATTTACAAGAAAGACAAGGAAGGCAGTTGCTCTGACCCAGAGAAAAGGTAAGGTAATAACCTGGTGAGAGATGTCTCTGGGAAGCAAGGGCAGGTTGTCTCTGGACTTGGGGCAGAGGATTTAAGAGCCTGAGGTGGCAAACATAAGGAATATTTACAATTTTGTTGGCCTTAGAGATTCATTTACCACAAATCCTCATTAGAAAAATTATACAATCGTCATTTCAGTCCCTGAGTACCTGTGACAAATTATCTGAGGACCTGGGGTGGGGCAGGAGGGTAACAAAACAAATATTTTACAGTTTCTGGGTTTTTCAAGGCTTAATCCCCAAAGCTCCTAATTAGAAAAATCATACAGTTGTCATTCCATTCCCTGAATAGTTCTGATCCCTGTAGGGCAGAAAGTCCTGGCAGAAAACTTCCTAACAATGAGACCTGTATGACAACGGAACCCAACATGCAAATCTTTCAGAAGAGGCTTGATGACTACTCCAAGTTGCTGGAGACAGGATACATTCTATGGCTAAAGATGACCTAAATGACCTCAGAGTTGTTCTGGTTCCAACAACCTCTGAATCTTTGTATGTGCTTCCTTGAAGCCAGTGAGCTCCCTCATCACTGCAGGTTTCCAAGCAGTGGAGGGATGATTGCTTTTCTGTTGTATTGCAGAGAGAATTCCTAACAAATGACAGCGTTGGCCCAGATATCTCTTAGGTTCATCTTAGCTCTAAAAATTAATGAGTTACTTCATAAAGTAGTGAGTTCCTAATTATTAAGCTCTTCACGTTGTTTGATGAACCCTTACAGGTTTGAGGGCAATGGATCTGGAGTCATGTACCCAGGTTGAATCCCAGTTCAGCTGTTTGACTTCTCTCGACCTGAGTTTCATCATCTGTAAACTGAGAATCTTGAACTAGAAGATCTCAGCCCCATTTGTAGAGCTAATCAATCTGATGGCCCCATAAATCCTACCAGGAGATATACCTACTCAGTCTGAGTTGGACCACATGTCCTATGTATTCTCTGACATATCAGAGAATGTAGAAAAGTAAGAGTTTTCAACCAATTCCCTGTTTTTGGGGACACCAGCTTCAAGGCTGGATGTTTCCTCAACTCCTGCAGACCCCTAACTTCATGAGATTCTTCAGTGCTGTCTTCTTATGTCTAAGAACTGGTCTCTATGTCTTCTCACAGAAGCAGGACCCATCATTCTTTAAACCTTAATTCTATATCTAAATAAAGAACTAAAAACCAAATAAGGACCAATTGCCCCCAGAACCTGATTTGGGGGTACAGATATGGCCCCTAAATCTCTGAAGATGCATGTAAAGGGTAGATTTTGTTCCCATCCCCATTGTAAAAAGGGATATATCCCAGAGAAATGAAGAACTAGGTTTATTACATAGAAAATTGTGGGCCTGATCTCCATAGCTTTGCAAGAAGTGGTCAAGATGGAAGGTCATGCCAGAATCATTGCCAGATAATGACTTCATAATGAAGTTTTAGAGACTGATAGGATGGTGAACTGTACAAGGCTTGTGAAAGGAATTGTACCATTGGTAAATATTTGTTGAAGCTATATGACAGTGTGCTCTGATATTGCTTTTTAACATACTTTGCAATTAGAATGAAATAAAATTTGGTTTTGTGTTTCATCAAAAGTCAATTTAAGTATATTGCAATAGGGCAACTAGGTGACACAGTGCATAGAGCACTGGCCCTGGAGTCAGGAAGACTCGAGTTCAAAACTAGCCTTAGACACTCACTAGCTGTGTGATCTTGGGCAGGCACTTAACCTCCATTTGCCTCTGTTTCTTCATCAGT